CCTTGGCCTCCAAAGTGCGTGGATTACAGGCGTGAGCCACTACGCCTGGCCTGCTTTAGGTTTTATGGCTGAAGAGTCCCCTTGGTGCCTCTGCCTGCGAGGCTGACCTGGGCCGTCAGCAGCTGAGATCTGCATGATACAGTCCAGATGCCAGAAGGAGACTGAACCTCTCTCCTAAATCTCAGCTAGAAAATTCCCAAGAGAGGGCCTCATAGGCCCAGGCAGTGTCTGGTGACTGTCCTGCAATGGCCAGGGGCCACGTTTTCTTATCGGAGTCTTACAGCTCCTGCTGCAGTCAGGGGCATCCAGGACGGGGCTGGGGAGAAGGTCCCAGGCAAGGAGGGTTGGCACCTACTCCGTAAGCGTATTTGTCTCTTTGCTCTTGATCTTTTCTCTACCTCATAGATCCTTCTTGCTCACACTATCAGCCTGTCCTTTTTTTTTCTTTTTTACTGAGCACAGGGGACTTTACTGATGGTACGTGACAAGGTGGGGCTCCCTAGGCCCCTCCCTTTGCAGGGGATCTTCATGGAAACTGTGAGGAGAGGAGATTCAGTGTGGTGGAGACCGAGTGTGGCAGGGACTCCCCAGCAGTGAGGGCTTCCCTCTTCCTCTCGTGCTCTCTCTGGGGCTGGTGGTCCAGGGGTCTTGCTCCTTGGAGGCCATGTGGGCCGTGAATGTTGCTGTAGCCAAATTCATTGTCTTACCAGGAAATGAACTTGACAAAGTGCTTGCTGAGGGCAGTGACAGCCCAGCTTCGAAGGTGGAAGAGCGCATGTCGCTGTTGAAGTCGTAGGAGACCACCTGGTGCTCAGTGTAGCCTAGGATGCCCTTGAGGGGGCGGGCCTCTGACGCCTGCTTCACACCTTCTTGATGTCATCATATTTGGCAGGTTTTTCCAAATGGCAGGTCAGGTCCACCACTGACACGTTGGCAGTGGGGACACGGAAGGCCATGCCAGTGAGCTTCCTGTTCAGCTTAGGGATGACCTTGCCCACAGCCTTGGCAGTGCCAGTAGAGAGGGATGATGTTCTGGAAAGCCCCACAGCCGTCACGCCTCAGTTTCTGGGAGGGGCCATCCACGGTCTTCTGGGTGGCAGTGATGGCATGGACTGTGGTCATGAGTCCTTCCACGATACCAAAGTTGTCATGGATGACCGTGGCCAGGGCACTAAGCAGTTGGTGGTGCAGGAGGCATTGTTGATGATCTTGAGGCTATTGTCATACTTCTCATGGTTCACGCCCATCACGAAAATGGGGGCATCAGCAGAGGGGGCAGAAATGATGACCCTTTTGGCTCCTCCCTGAAAGCGAGCCCCAGCCTTCTCCACGGTGGTGAAGATGCCAGTAGACTCCACCACGTACTCAGTGCCAGCATCACCCCACTTGATTTTGGAGGGATCTCGCTCCTGGAAGATGGTGATGGGATTTCCACTGATGACAAGGTTACTGTTCTCAGCCTTGATGGTGCCGTGGAATTTGCCATGGATGGAATCATACTGAAACATGTAGACCCTGTAGTGGAGGTCAATGAAGGGGTCATTGATGGCGACAATGTCCACTTTACCAGAGTTAAAAGTAGTCCAGGAGCCCAATACGACCAAATCCATTGACTCTGACCTTCACCTTCCCCATGGTGTCTCAGGGATGTGGCTGGTGATGGGAGACAAGATGTGGCCATCTGTCAAACAGGAGGAGCTGAGATCGCCTTTTTTTTTTTGGACAGGATCCTACTCTGTCACCCAGGCTGGAGTGCAGTTGTGTGAACTTGGATCATTGCAGCCTCTGCGCGCCGGGTTCAAGTAATTCTCCTGCTTCAGCTTCCCAAGTAGCTGGGATTATAGGCACATGACACCACGCCTGGCTAATTTTTTATATTTTTAGTAGAGACAGGGTTTCACAATGTTGGCCAGGCTGGTCTTGAACTCCTGACCTCAGATGATCCACACCCCCTTTGGCCTCCCGAAGTGCTGGAATTACAGGCATGAGCCACCATGCCCAGCCCTTTCAGCCTGTTTTGACCTCTACTCATGCAAATTTTACCTTTCCCCTTATGCCTCACTCCACCTCACAGCTTTACCCCCTTCTCCCTAATCGCACCCCACTGTGACTGCCTGAAATGCCATGTTTCTTCATTCAGATTTCTCAGATAATTCAGTGGTTCCACCCATAATTCCACACCAGGCCACCTCACAGGCAGTGAATCACTTAAGGACTGGCTGCCTTGAGGTGCGCAGCCTGTATTCAGTAATCTGCTAGAGCAACATGGAGCTGTACCTTCTGCAAGGCTGTGGGCATGGAACAGGGACTGGTGTCATAAGGAGACATTCCTTATGCCTAGGCATTGAAAGGATACTCCTTCCAAAAGGCCTTTCCCAGCGTTTCCACCCTGAAATCCACTAACCATAGCATCTGACTCTTGACACTGCCCTGTGGTGCAAAGTGCATTTGTCAAAATCCTATTGTCACAGAGATCCAAGTGTATGATTGCTTAAACATATGAGAAGATTATTTCTTGCTCAGACATCAAATGCATGATAAGCAGTTCAGAGAGGAGATGACAGCTTTACGGTGTTGGGGACCTAAGCTCCTTCTGACTTGCTGTTCTATCATCCCTAGGATGTTTGCTTCATCTTCTTGGATCAAGATGGATCACTACCACATTCCAGCCAGTGGGAAGGGGGAAATGCATTTCCCTTTCCTTTCAATGCAGGAGCCAGCATTTGCATACCTCACTTCAATCACACCTCATTAGCCAGGACATAGTTACAGGGTCAAGTCAAGCAGCAAGGAGAGCTGGCCAATGAACTCTATTCAGGGTGGCCAAGTGTCTGGCTAAAAGTTGGGAATTCTGTAATTAAGGAGGAAGAGAAGAATGCATATCCCACCACCCTCCTGTCGCCGCTGTCCACTCACTATCCAGTTTGTCACCATATGCTGGCACACCTCATTCCTGATGTCTTTCCTACAAGGCTCTATTCTTCATCCCCACGGCTCCCACCATGTGCTGGGCTCTTCCTGCTTTATACCCAGTGTCTCACTGGAACATTCTAGCTGGTCCCTTTGCTTTCAGTCACCCTTTGTGATCATTCTATTAATACTTAGCAAATCTGATCATATGGCTCTATTGTCTAGAAATTAATGCCTCCAGCCGGACACGGTGGCTCATGACTGTAATTCCCGCACTTTGGGAGGCTAAGCCAGGCGGATCACGAGGTCAGGAATTCAAGACCAGCCTGCCCAACATGGCAGGCTCTGTCTCTACTAAAAATACAAAAAATTAGCTGGGCATATGCCTGTAATCCCAGCTACTCAGGAGACTGAGGCAGGAGAATCGCTTGAACCCGGGAGGCAGAGGTTGCAGTGAACCGAGATCGCGCCACTGCACTCCAGTCTGCCCACAGAGTAAGACTCCATCTCCAAAAAAAAAGAAAGAAAAGAAAAGAAATCAATGCTTCCCCACTGCCCATAGCAGTGAGATTTTGAGTCTTTTTTTGAGACAGAGTCTCATTCTGTCACCTAGCCTGGAGTGTAGTGGTGACATCACAGCTCATTGCAGCCTTGTCCTCCTGGGCTCAAGTGATTCCCCCCAGCTTAGCCTCCCGAGTAGCTGGGACTACAGGCACACACCACCATGCATGGCTAGTTTTTAAATTTTTTTGTAGAGATGGGGTGTCACTATGTTGCCCAGGCTGGTCTTTACCTCCTGGGCTCAAGTGATCCTCCTGCCTCAGCCTCTAAAGTGTTGGGATTACAGGTGTGAGAAGTGCATCCAGCTGAGTGGATTTTTGAATCCCTGAAGTTACATGCAAATTTTGCCTTTTTAAAAAAAATTTAAAAAAAAATTTTTTTTTGAGATGGAGTCCCAGTTGCTCTGTCACCCAGGCTGGAGTGCAGTGGCGCAATCTTGGCTCACTGTAACTTCTGCCTCCTGGGTTCAAGTGATTCTCATGCCTCAGCCTCCCGAGTAGCTGGGGTTACAGGTGTGTGACACCATACCCTGCTAAATTTTGTATTTTTAGTAGAGACGGGAGTTTCACCATGTTGGCCAGGCTGGTCTAGAACTCCTGACCTCAAAGGATCAGCCCATCTTGCCCTCCCAAGGTGCTGAGATTACAGCATGTGCCACCGCGCCCAGCCCCTTTTCCTTTCTTTTTTATTTTTTAGAGGCAGGGTCTCACTCTGTCACCCAGGCTGAAGTGCAATGGTGCGAAAATAACTCCCTTGACTCAAGCAATCCTCCTGCCTCAGCCTCCTAAGTAGCTAGGACTACAGGCATGTGCCATCATGCCTGGCTATTTTTTATTTAAAACAAATTTTTTTTTAGAGATGGGGTCTTGCTATGTTGCCCAGGCTGGTCTTAAACTCCTGGCCTCAAGCAATCCTTCTGCCTCAATCCCCCAAACTTTTTCTGCTGAGGGCTTTGCATTTTCAGAGGGATCTGTTATTCCCCTCAAGTTACAGGCTCCAGTCCAAATTCCAACTATCAATGTATGAGTACAACGTGTTTCCTAACCTCCCTCTCACATCTCCTCTTTGGTTCCCTCTCCCACGTAACTGAAACTAAAGTTATCCTGAAATTGTCTCCATTGCCCAACAGGTCACACCTTTTTTTTTTTTTT